GAATGCTTACAGTGATAATTTAGGCGATCAATCGTCGTAGAATCGATGCTTGAACTTTTACACATTGTCTTGAAACGGATTTTTTTAGAAAGAAATCCGGTTAAGTTCCATAAACTTGTGATTCTTCGACCATCAATCAAGCACGATCTATGACGTTCCAAACATTCATTTTGATCACAAATCGAAGTTGATACTATCACAATCTTTTTGCAATAAATTTTGTCCATTTTGGTCTTCATTTGAGAATATTCCAATTTTGTAAATGTCGAAAAATGAGATTCCAGCGACCGGAAAAGTATGTCATTTTTAACCTCAAAATTTGTGTCATCCGGCCTCCGATCATATGTAAAAATTATATCAAACTGTAGCTCTTTGAAGCATGGTGGCAACAGACCTATACTTGCAACGATTTGACACCGGGATCTTAAGTTATGGCCTCTCAAAGAATTGGATGTTCTTCTTTATAAAATCTGATTTTTTTATGTTTAGAGCTCATTGTATCTTTAAATTTTCTCTTGTTCCGTGTCATGCTTTGATGCGTGCCATATGTCAAAACGATAGAGTCGTCGAGATTTATCTCGTGTCTGAATTTGAGCTTAGTTGAACTGAAAATGAGTGAGTTATGAATATTTGAAAATCATCTTGAAATGAAAAAACACAATTTTCATAAATGGAATCTAGTTCACTAAGGTTGCACCGCAATAGAGTAAAACCTACATTTTCATGGTAAGTTAGGCCTAGAATGGTCCCGGAAGGTCCAATTGAGACAAACTTTCTTACCTAAGGTTTTTTGACGTTTCGAATCTAATGGCAGTGGTCTGGTGCTGTTTTAAGACCCAAAAAATAGGGCTATAGCTATATGGTTCATTTTCAGGATGATAAAAACTAGATTTGAAAACCAAGTTTCGTCTTGATTATATTAAAACTTGTTAGAACACGACGAAACTTTATTGGTATCCTTAAGGTATCCAAAATTACCATCTTATTCAATTGGAGTCCATTTTTTATACTTCTTCAGAGGTCGCCCAATTTTAGGCTTATTGCTACAGTGTTCCCATGGTCTAGCGGTGTCTTGGGCATTGGTGGGACCAGGTTACTACCAACTTTCTCTTTATTCAACCTGGGATACAGGTACATAAAAAATGACGTATAACAAAGGGGGATCAATGTCATTGAAAAAATTGTTGGCTCTATGACCTCCAATCATTTTCAGGTCAATATCTCATACAATCCGAGGAGTATTTTGGACTGAAATCTGGCAGGGAGGTTCCTGACTTTGCACCGCTAATAACAATGTACATAAATTCAGAGATAAAAGTCAAACTAAGGAGAAATTATAGAGGGAAATTGCTTGTAGATTTTGGCATTATGGTTTCCAAAAATAGAAAAAAAATAAAGTGGTTGTAACTCTGTTGAATGACGATATATTCAGTAAAAAATCATGCCAAACAATGATCTCAAGTAGCTTTACAGGAATTTGGTAGCTGATCATCAAATGAAAATTAAATAAGGGTGCATTGAAGAGCCATAGAAGAAGCATGTTAAAATCTTGCCAAAAATAGAAAATCAATATTAAAAGGGTGCAATTTGTACAGAACTTATGCTCTAAACTATCAAATTAGAGCCTACCTTCAAATAGTGTCGAGAAATGTGGTTTCAATATTGGAAATCTTTGTGATAGCCTTAAATTGTATTTTCATCTTTATTTATGATGTTTAAAGCTTAAAAAATAGTGTAGATCGACAGATCTATGAAAATCTTGAAAATTGATGGTCCAAAAATGTGTTACTACAAACACTATTTTCAAAACTTGAAATTTATTTTTTTCTCATGTCCATGCATCTTGATGTCGAGATGATCAATTTGAATATATTTGGATATCAAAACAACCTTTTCTAGTGAAATTTTTTAGGTAGGTTCAAAGTTGATTATTTAGGCCTCGGCTCTATATAAAATTTTCCGATATTAAAATAGGGCATAACTCACCAAATTTAACAACGGTTTTACTCAAATTTGTCAGAAAATGATCACAGAGAAATTTTTAGCAATTTCACTTATGAAATTGAGCCAAAATGGTGGAAACATGGTCCAACTTAATGGGTTTTGGTAGCGGATGAAGGATGAAGTCTTGATAGAGCAGAATGATGGACCAAGATTAATATAGCCGGTCCCAAATAGTTGAAAAAAGACTCAGATGATGATGATGATGCTGCCTCCCTAAGGAAAAATCATTAAAAATTCTAAAGCTTGGGTGACCTTTTTTGTCACTTTCAGGCATAGCTCAAATTGAATTTTGATAACTCACCCATGGTTAACCGCATTTTTAATTTTCCACACACCCTATTATTAAGTGCCACCCATGTTTTCCCGCCATTATATAAAACCCACTTAAGCCTCATTTTCAAGATTGGACTATTGAGATTAAGAGCTAAAATTAGATAGAGAAAGTGTACGCAAATTACCCCCACGTGTCTCCCATATTATCCAATTACCCTTGCATCTTTTCAAAATTTCCAAAATACCCGGTAGTCTCAAAAGGACCTAAAACTTCCCAAGAACTTCTCACTTCTAAACCTAATTCTTAGGAAGCTTAAAATCTAAGAAAGCCCAATTTCCACAAAAATTTAAGGCTTCCAAACACCCCAAATTTCATAACCTTTCACTTATGGTGCCTAGCCTTAGAGTCGGGTGAAGGTCAAGCAGGTCTTGAGTATATTCTAGCTGCTTTGGGAAGCAAGGTTCTTTAGCCGGCTTGAGGGTTGCCGTCGCCGGGCCTGATACTATCGCCCAACCTAAAGAGCAGGGGCATCCCCTGTACTCTACAAATCGGAGGTCTAAGAGGGCCCGGCTGTACTGGACCCACGAGCGAATGTCCCTACCTTGAACTTGCTTTATTTTGAGTAATTAAAGATTGATGTTTTAATAGTGTATCTATGGTTACTAACTTTTATCGAGGTTATTGAGTCATCCAACACGCACATACAAGCATCTTTTAAATTGACACAACTACGTTTTAGTAATTAAACAATACTAATGTTATTTGTAGTAGTATCATAAGCTATTTTGAATTTGTATATTTTTTAGCTTCCCATATATTTAAAAATGCACAAGGAGATATTGGGACCGACATGTCCATAAGGACACAAAGTCAATAAGAGCCAGGTTAGCTAAAAAACGTTGTGAATTAGTATTACCTAACATAACTAATATTGTTTAATTTCACTTCAAAATAAAAAAATCTAAAAAAGATTATATTTGCCCTATATTTTTCTGAAGTTTTCGCTTCGTTTTTTAGCTTGATCTTGCCCTTTGTATGGACTCAGGTATGATAGGGCAAGTCCGCTCGGTCGAAGAAAGTCAGTCGAGCGGAGTGATGGAAAATTAGTTCTTATAACCCCAAATTTGGGAAAATAATCTAATCAACCTCCAGTCCTCGTTTCTCATTTATAAATGGCAAGAGTGTTGCTTCTCATGGCCTCGAAAACATACCCTTGTGCATTATGATGAAAAAGAATGGCAGAAGACATAAGTGTTAAAGTATCTTGGACCCTCCATATGTGGGCGTGCTACAACATGCAGCCATGGTGATATAAAATATATACCTTTTTATTATGGAAAAAGTTTATATAAAGATGCAACTTTATAATGTTGAACTACGGATGCACCTCAAAATCTATCAGAAAAATGTAATTTTAATATTGAAAAACCTTTTTATTGGTCATCTGGACATCGAGATGTATGATCATGAAGTATAAAAAGATTTTAAGTCTAAAAAATAGTGCATTTTACAACATATTATCTACACCGTCCATTTACAAGAT